TGCCAATCTTCATAGTATTAGAAGATTCTAGGTTCATGTAGAGGTGAAAAGGATGACTTTATCCTTGCCTCTGTCAGCTGGATGTAGAGGGGTTCTCCTGCTGATTTTATGTAAAGTCTCTCAACAAAACATCTTTTCTAACTGCTAGCCTTCACCACGTAATCACTAAATCTCAGAGACTATTCTCTCCCATTATATTTTATTCAGGCTCTTCTCTCTCCAAAGCTGTTTCCTTCCCTCTACTGTTAGTAAATAAAATTTCCTATGCAAGTTAATTAGCTAATATTTATTGAACATTTACTTTATGCCAAGAATTGTTCTAAGAGCTTTAGATGATCTCATTCGTTCCTAATAACAAACTCCTAAGTTAGGTACTATTGTTATGGCTATTTTACAGATAAGAAAACCAAGACATAAAAAGATTAATTAATGGTAGAACCAAGATTCAAATGCAGTCTTTCAGATTCTATAACCTTGCTCTTAATCACTCTCAATAGCCTCTCATTACAAAAAAATAGTCTCCAGGAGTGAGGCAGCTTGAAGAGGGCTCTTTATATGAGCTGTAGCTCAACCAGACTAAGTGGTTTGATAAATTAAGAGTATGTATAATTACATTTCAATCAAACAAATGATAATCCTTTCTTAATTAGGCAGAATATAGCGAACATATCATGGGATTTGTGAATTAAATGGGACTTGGCTCTTTGTTTGAAAGTCATTTTTCCTTTGGTATGATTTTGGACAATTTACTGTAACTACCTGAGCCTCCATTTTTTTTTGTCTTTAAAAAGGAGTAATAATGCCTATCTTTAAAATAGTAATATTCTTCTTTGAGTAAATAAGACAATGTATATGAAGCAACCAGTTTGGTACACAAAGCACTTGGAAGGCATCCACTAAATATTTTTCTTTCTTTTATCCAGCAAATAAGAAAAGTAAGCCATCAGATATTGTGCTTCACTATACTGCTTCCAGATAGATTCTTTTGTAATATAGAGCTCAAGATGTTAAAGATGGTCCTACTCAAGATTCTAAATGCTGTATATAATAAAATAATTTTCTGCTCTAAGCTACCAGTGAAAATTAAAACTCAATCACATGCTATGCTAGTTGCATACTGATTGTTTTCTTCTGGGTTGGGTATGCAAAGGTGATATATAGAATACAAAAAAAAAATCTACAGTGAAATATAATACTTTCTTTTGGCAAAATACTACAGAGCTACTGCTACCAAGGGCTTTAAAATTTAGGTAATAATTTTTGTGTAGTTATATTAAAATATATTTACTTAATAATATTAGTACCATAATTATATTTCAAGTTCATAAATACAAATATCATTTTTAAATGATTGATATAATGCCTAATTCTTAAACTCTAAGAATAAAAATAAACATGTCTTAGTTTGTTTAGACTGCTCTAACAAAATGCAACAAATTAGGTTGCTTAGGAACAATAGAAATTTATTTCTCACAGTATTGGGGCCTGGAAGTTCATGATCAGGGTGCCAGCATGGTCAGGTTCTGGTGACAATGCTCTTCTGGGTTGCAGACTGCTGACTTCTTGCTGTGTCCTCACCTGGTGGAAGTGCAAAAATTTTATGATACCAGTCACGAGCTCAACAAAAAGTATCTAGGAGTTAACCTAATAAAGAATGCACAGGGTAATACAAATATTTATTTAGTGTTTACTTCATATACAATATTGGTCAAAACAGAGGAGCTTACATTTAGAATGGAGATAGGGAGACAGTAAACAAATAAACACATAAGTATATGTCAAGTATCATTAAGAAATTATAAAGCTGAATAAGGGAGATAGTGAATGACATTATAGAGCTACCTAATTTTATATAGGGTGTTGAGGAAAGACACTGGTGTTAAAGATGACATTCAAACAGAGATTTGAAAAAGACAAGGAAATGAGAGCTCTGTAGATATCTTGGGATAGAGCTTGGTAGGTTGATGAATAGCCAGGAGGTTGGAATGGTTTGAGGGAGTGGCGTTGAGGGTAAAGTAGTGGTGGAGGATAAGGGAGAGAGGTTGGAGACCAGATCCCTAGAGCAATGATTTTCAAACTCTTTTGACCATGATCCACAGAAAAAATACTCATACACACGTTTTATACTGTAACCAGTATGCACAGAACAGAAACAAAAGTTCATTGAAACAATACTTTTTCTTGTTACATGTAATGAACTCTAGAGTTTTTTCCTTCTCTTTTGTTCTATTTCATTCTCTTATTTCATTTTTAAAAAATGGCTGATTGTGTGGCACTAAACTGATTTATATGAATCGCTAACAGTATGAACTTTGGATTTAACTCTAAGTGGGAAGCCAATCAAAAATTCTGAGCATAAGAGAGGCTTTTTTTTTTAACTTAACTTTTGTTAAAATTTACTCTATGAAAATTTTCAAACATACACAAAAGTAGAGGACATAGCATAATGAACTCTCATTTATCTATCAGCCGTTGTCAACAACTATCAACAATTTGCCATTCCTGTTGCACCTAACCTATCACCCCACACACTTTAAATAAAAGGTTATACTAAGGGCTTTGAAATTTTTTTGTGCTGGGGTGGGGGTAGGAGGAGTCCAGTTGAGAGAGTGTCCCATGGGGTTTCCCTCCTAGTCATTGAACCTCAAATTGTAGAGGCCTTAGTTAGAATTTCTTCAGAAATTCTGGCACAAAGATTTCATGGTTGAAGTCTCACTTGTTTGAAGTTTTACTATCTTTTCAGTAGCATCTTTATGGATGCCAGAGCCTTCTGGCCAGAAAAGTGCTTAGAAAGACAGGATCCAGACCACAGGGGTGAAAACTGGATAGGCTGGATTTAGACAGAATTCTCCTCCTCAGAGGTATGGTGGGTGGTGGAGGTACCAGTAAGTCTGGGGCTGTCTTAGAAGTTACGTTATGCACCTTTTGACGCCTTCTGCTTCTAGATGTGATAAAGAGACCAACAACTCAACTGTCATCAGTCTTGTCCCAGTAGATCCGAACAGAACTACACCCTGATGTGGTGGAGGGTTGGCTGCAGAATGTACCCTCAAGGAGCTAAATTAACCGAGTCTCAATAGAAGACTGTCGTGGACATGAAAGTGGCTAGCAAAGAGGAAATAACAACTAAGAATAACGTGACACTTTTGGGGGGCAGTGAAGTAAATAAACATTGTGGTCTAAGAAAAGTCTTAGTTCTTCACCCAAGGAGGGCCCCACTTCTCCATTATCAGAACTCTACACTTTGGTGATAGGAACCCAAACAGCCATCTAAGGACCACATACTTTCTCTGAGCTGAGGGTGCAAATGCGTAGAACCCACTGAAGACCGTGCCACAGAATGTGAGAGCTCAGGGCATCAACCGGGATTCCTGGAAAGATTCAGAACCTCAAGCGTGGGACTGTTGTGTCCGGCTCTTAGAAGCAGTGCTACAGCTCCGCTTATTGTGTGGAGAGTAACCAAGGTACAAGCTCACCAGCCTAGACGAGACCTCTAGAGCAGAGGTCTCCAGACCCCGCCCCCGACCCGGGCCCCAGCTTAAAACTTTCAACAGTCCTTGATTAAACGCCCCCAATGGCTCCTCTCCACCTTCGCTGAGACAGTCAACGTTAACCTCTCTTTTCAGGGCCACCCAAGTGCTTGTCTCTTCTAGCAGAACAAGCCGGGCTTCTCAGAAGGTCTCAACCTCAGCCCGGCCGCTGCATTTTCAAGTCCAGGCATCGGTGTGAGCTGGACTACATTTCCCTAGAGCCTCCGCGCTCACTTTCGTTTCCTGCCCCTTTGTTCGGAAGCACTCTGAGCGCGGCGTGTCTGTGTCCTCGCGGTCCTTTCTTGCTGTGACCCGCCCATTCTGGACCCGGGAGGAGCACACGCTGTTCAGGAGTGTGTGTCTGTCCAGCAGGGAATTGTCAGATTTGGGGGCTCTCCCTCTGGGTCTGTCCCCGGGCCCGCTGATCTGGCCATAATCCTTTCTGCTGGACTAGGGTGATATAAGGTTGTGCGCTGACACCTTGACCCTACCCCTCTGCTGTGGGTTTTGTGTGTACCTGACATTGGTGTGTGAATGTTTAATGCACGAGAAAGCCCCAGTCCTTTACTGGGAAACAGGCTGAGGGCCTGCATAACCTGAAGCGCTTAGCCGAAAGGTGAAGCAGGTGAGGCCCAAGGCTCCCAGTGCTTGGGTTACATCAGAGACCAAAGCGCGTGCGCCTGTGTGTCCTTGCAACCCACAGTGTGGTGGAACCATTGTGTAGACTTCTACAGTGTTAATGTGGGAGGGTGTGGATGTAAGAGATCCATTTGTGTACATCATGAGAAAGTGGTATTGCTTAGTGATGAGACAGACAAGTTACTGAACTTTGTGCCTCTTATTCCTTATCTGTCAGAAGAGTTTTACCATAGGTAATGGTTGTGGAGTTTAAATGTAATTTTGATATGAAATAGTTGCCATGGTACCAGGCACCAAGTAAAGGTTCAATCAGTAGTAGTGATTATTAATAGTAGGCCTCCATCTCCTCATTTGTACATAAAAAGAAAAAACCCAGGGAGGAAAAGTAACTTGTTCTTTGTCACCCAGCCAATTGGCACATTGTAGTAATTAGAACCCAGGGGCTCTCACTCTCAGCAAGGTACTTTCCGCCAAGGCTACACTTGTGTATGCGGCTGGCATCTTGGTAACAGTATCTTTACCATTGTCTGCGATTTTTCTGTGTTCCTGAGTGTCTCTGCAGGGCCCTGGGGTAAAGGTTATATGGAGACTTGCCTGTGTTTAGGGCTTCCTGAAGACTGAGTGACTGTGGAAGTCCTTAACTTTAGTCTTAGCTCAAAAGATATTGCTCCAGATCCCTGGTTATGGTTGTGAGTGGGGTCTCAGAGGATGAAAAAAATACTATGAAAAAGGGAAAAAATTCAATCTAGAATCTCTTGTCAAAGTTTCTAGAAGGATGATGGTAATTCCCCTGAAGAGATGTGGAGGACTTGGATGAGGTTGCTATACCCAAATGGTGGTTCAAAGGCTGTGATTGTGGAGGCTTGGACCCTCAAACTCCAGAACAGAGGTAAGAAATACACATAAGAAAAAGTTCTGCCATTACCTAGGCATCTACAGTGTGCATGTGCAGTCTCGTAGTCTTTTTTCCTTTTTTTTTTTTTTTAACGACAGCCTTGTATATTACGTGTGGGCAGCTCTGAGAGCTTAGGCAAGCCATTAGTTACCTCATTTGTAAAAAGTGATTTATTGGAAGTATCTGTACATTGTGAGTGCTCTATAAGTAGTAGTAATTTTACTAATATCATCATTCCCTTTTTACTTGAAGCTCTAAAAAAGTAAGAAATCTTACTCTTCATACTCTATTACACTAGATACCTCTCCAAAGGGTGAAAGAGAGGGCAAGTCAAGTTCTTTGGAAAGAGAGAAGGAAATGAGCATGGAGAAGCTGATCAATTGTTTGGCATTATAGCACAAGGGAGAGTTCAGGCACACAGCTGGGGCCTACATCAGCAGAGTCCATGACCTTGGTCTCACTTATGGCAGGGTTGGAAACTGCTTTTTGGTTTCCTTTCTGTTCCCTCTTAAGAAGTGTCTGCCTTAAGGAGATACAAAAGGATGGCCCAGATGAGGAGGGATTTCCATAGTCTATCTATAGTCTGTTTGGTTTTCCTCAAATATCCTGCCTCAGCCCCTTCAATTTCCCAAGGCCTTGGAACTTAGGAGTTCCTATCTCTACGTTATCCTTCACTGATTGTCACAGTTCAGTACAGGAAGCGGGTAGGCATATAGGGAATTTTGGGCTTAGGAGTATGATCGAACATTGATTATACCTTTTGTTTTCATAAAAAAAGGATAGAAAGAAAACCCCATAAAATCTTGGTTAGTGGTGATGTGCAGAAAATAGTAATAATTAACTGATAACTAAATGACCTTTAGCGAGCGCTTTTTCTGTACCCTTTATATGCATCAGTGTACAATGCTTTCCCCATTTTTCAAATGAAGAAACAAGCACAGAGGAATCTTGCTAATGGCCATGCAGAGCCAGGATTTAAAAGCAGGCTGCCAGCCCCACAGCTAGTGTTCTAGTGAGAAAAGATTGTAGGAGGCATAGATTTAGGAAAAAATGTGAAGCCTTGTACTGTTTATAATGCCTGAAGGCTTGAAATACCTACTTCTTTCCTAAACAAATCTACTGGGGACTTTAAGTATCGCTTTTGGTGGGTGAGGGAGGGGAAGAATTGAACAAATAATAAACTGTAGAATATTAGGAAAACAGAATTATCTGTAGAAAAAAATAAATATAAGTCTACCACCCAGAGATGAAGAAGTGCTCAAAGGTGTTACGATCCTTTTTCTTCCTATAGGCAAAAAGTCAAAATGGGAAAGTAAATCATGAACAGAAGGTTGCTTGATGGGTGTGGAATCAGACAAAGGGAGTTAGGTGGATCATTAATTTATTTCCAACACTTTGGGCCTACTGTCTTGTCAGGCACACTCTGCTAGGTGCTTAGGATGCAGACGTGAATGAAATGACATTGCAGTTTAGTGGATTGTGTGTGTGTGTGTGTGTGTGTGTGGTGGAGCCAGCCTAGGATGGCTGCAGACTTAGAGTGGGCCGGGAACACTCGTGATCTGGTGGCTGAAGAGCCCTGTGACCTTGACTGTTGGGAATGGGCACTGCTGCCCTTTGCCTCTGTGGCTCGTTTTTCTTGTTCTATGAAGTTGGATGGTTTCTCCATTTGTAAATAAAGGAGTTGAGGCTAGAGGTCTTTTAAACTTCTCTCCAACCTTAATAGTATGTGTAGATTTTTTTTTTTTTTGTCACAAGGATCATTCTCAGAACAAAGGCTCAAACATATCCTGAACCCAGTTAATGATCATACCTTTCCCTGACTAAATTTCCATTCAGTATACTCTCTGAGGTTGTCTTTTGAAGCTTCATTACTGAGATTTCTGTGGAATCCTTCAAACCGTGTGACAGCCAAGGTCAGAGGCACATTTTGTGATAAGTGATTATTTCTAATCTACTAGGTCTGAAATACATAATGACAAACTGGATTTCTTTATTACTCTTTCCTGCTAGCTTTGCCACTTAAGGACTCTGCCCTTTTCCAAAATGGGTATCTTGAGGAGGAGATCATGGCTACTTTTCTCCAGGCAGTGAAGTCCCAGGTAAGTTGAGGATTTTCCTCTCATCTCTAAAATTTCATTTTAATTCTTGAAGCAAATAAACTTTTTCTTAGCATGAAGCGTGTCAGCCCTATTAGCATCACCAGTTTTAAAAGATGGGATCAGGTGGGTGGGATGGACTGTCAACATAATGATGACTGTGTGTTCCTCAGTTGTGTGGAAGTAGCATGGAGATAAGGGGGCTTGTCAGCTTCTCCCATCAATTGACAGTAGGAGAGATAGGGAATTTGAGGCCCCTTTAGCAGATCATTGAGGAGGAGGACTGATAGAGCATGGTTGGATGAGAACCGAGCTTCCATTTGTTTATTTGAGACATTTAGCTTAGATATACAAAGGCATGAGACATGTCTTGCTTCTATCTGCTTAGGAATTAATTCCCTGGGGAGAAAAGACATGTACAAAATCTGTGTGGTACAAGTCAGCAAAATTATTGAGGGTCTACTTAATAATAAAGTGTTTTTGGAAAAAAAATGTATGAATTCAGAGGAGAGTGAGCAAACGTGTCTGCCTGAGAGAGATTTGGAAGGCTTTATTCATTCAACCAGCATTTTTAAGGTACTCTCAGGCTAATGGAATAGTGAGATTTGAAATGGGCCCTAAAGGATGAGTGGATTTTTGATAAGAAAGATTTGCGAAGTCAGTGATATTAATGGCTTAGGATTGAGGAGAAATACTGCTTTCTCTGAGACAGAAAAAAAGAAAGTACACTGAAATCATAGATATACTGTCTTATAAAAACTTAAGAGGGTTCTGATCTGTTTGCTTCCAGTCTGTTCTATGTACTAATAATCATAGTCAAAGTTTGTTCCTAGATAAAATTCTCAAGCTTGGGATATTTTTTAGTTTCTTACTAACCATGTCTCTTTCTTATTGAAAATAATCTTAAGGCCCCTGAACATTAGCCTTGGTTGGGAAGGCTATATATCCTTAATCTGATCTTTTTACAGGGCTAAGTCATTTTGTTTAGCTGAGAAATTTTAATAGGCCTTTGTTGTTCAAAGCCTTTTTTAGACTTATTTCCTATTGTATGAGTTCTAAAAAGAGTTTGCTTTTCCAATCATGTGAAGCCCCAAATTTCTGGACTCTATATTCCATTTTTATTTTGGCTTGAAAATTAACAAATTCTTTTTTGAGCTCAACTCTTTTTTTCTTTGCCAAATAGATCCAGTAGCATCCTATACAAACTAGTATTCTGGCTCTTTCCAACCTGTTCCCCTATAGCTACAAGATTGATGAGCCAATGCCACCTGTATATTTTATGTTTTTGTTATGATACCTTCCAATTCAAGGTGCTAGTTTCTGAATTAGTTAGTGTTGGGTAACTTATAACTGGTCTAACCAATAGATCCAATATATATAATGGCCCCAATACAATAGAAATTTATTTCTTGTTCTTATAACCCTATGACTGGGTCAGCAGATTGATAAGGTGGCCATTCAGGGCCTTAAGCTAGTTGAAGCTCTATTGTCTTAACCACATGGCCACTGAACTCCCTTTAGGTGTCATCTTCATACCAGCTAGCCAGAAACGGAAAGCAACATGGAGGAATATATGTGAGTCAGGTTTGGAAATGGCACACCTTACTCTGCTTGCATTCCATTGGTTAGAACTCAGTCATGTGGCCACATTTAACTGTAAAGGAGGTTGGGAAATGTTTGCATACCTAGAAAAGAGGAAGAGTACTTTAGTGAGCAGTTAGCAGTTTCTGGTACTCTCTTCAAACATTTAGGTTGTTTAAAACTATTTTGCTGTTTTAAGTTATAAATAGATAAGAATCTTCATTTATAACTCTTTTCCCATATTTCTGACCATTTTCTTATAATTTATTTCTGGTTATACAATTACTATGTCAAAAAGGTATACACATCTTAAGATTCTTCAACATACAATAAAATTTTGCCTTTGACACTATGACCATATTTGAATCAATTTCCTCCCCATCCCATTAATTTCTCCTAATTCTGCCTCATTCAACCTTTTCTTTAGAACCACATGTCAGTATTTCAGGGCTTTGTGTTATTCAAGGACATGGCTGTGAACTTCACTGAGGAAGAATGGAGAGAACTGGACTCTGCTCAGAGAGTCTTATACAGGGATGTAATGCTAGAGAACTATAGAAACCTGGTCTTTTTGGGTAAGGTTGGGTCCTCTCACCTCAGGTTGGCTTTTGGGATGCCTTTGCTTTCTAAAGATTCCTTTGCTCCTATTAGGGGAAAATGAGGCTTTGGTTATTTTTTTTTCTCCAGAATCGAGATATCAGAACCTTAAACTATTTCTTACCCTGTTGGTGTAGAAAATATTCACTCACTTTTGACAACGAGTTATCCTGTCTACTCGCTAAAATGCAACAGAGTTGGATGAAAATAGGGTGGTCTTTTGTCTTTTGAACTTACAATCACATTCTGTTTCTTTCCCTTGTGCAGGATTTCCATTTTCGAAACCTGATATCGTCTCGCAATTGGAACAAGTGGTAAACCCACAGATGCAGGAAGGAGAAGTGCTAAGCAGCAGCTGTACATATAAGTGAGAACAAGGCAGATAACATTTTTCAAAATATGAGTAAGGGTTTCTTCTTCAAATCTTCCAGGCCTATAGAAAACGTTGAGGTCCCCTCCAGTCTCATCTTCACTTGGACATATCAGAGTCCTGATAGCCTACCTTCCTACTTCTTCCCAGACTTGAGGAAGGGATGCTTCATCCTTAAAGTTATAATCTTAATGCTTGATCCAGAGATCATTGTTGTGCCTTGCCCTTGGCATTTTATGAAGTTATTCCCTTCTTCTGTCAGTAACTGGAGACTCTCCTTTACTCACTTTGTCTTCATTGTACCTAGTTTTTTCCTACCTAAAAAGTATGAAGAGAATGAAGAATTTGAATGTAGTTTTAAGGAATATAATTTTACATTCAATTTTAAATATTTAAAATTGATAGAATTAGCTGAGTACATGTGGGAGGTGAGGGAGTAACAGACAAAGATAATTCCCAGGTTTCTGGTTTGGATGTGTAGGTGGATGGAAGTTCTCTTCCCTGAGATGGAGAACACAGGAAAAGTAGTAGAGTCGGGGAGTAGAAGATGAGTTCCATTTTCCTAAATTGTTTGAGTGTCTACAGAAGTTTAAACCAGTGGTTCTCAACCAGGGACGATTTTGTCCCAAGGGCACATTTGGCAATGTCTGAAGACTCAGCGAGTACTGTGGGCATCTAGTGGGTAGAGGCTAAGGATGCTGCTAAACATCCTACAGTGCACAAGACTGCCCCTCCCTAAAGATTTGCTTGCCATCTTTGAGAAACTCTGGTCTAAATGAAGATATCTGGAAGGTAGAAGAATATAAGGAGGATATGTCCAGTAAGTATTGGTGAAGGAAAGAGATTGCAACTGGTAGTACAGATTTGGGAATTATCTGAGAATATGGTAATTGAAGTCATGTGAGTGGATGAGATCACCAATAGAGCATGAAAAATTTCAAGAGAACCTAGAAGCCTAAAGAACATACACATTTAAATATCTGTCATTATATGTATATCTTGAGTAATTTTCAAAAGTAAACATGTAGAGAAAAAACTGGTGACAAATATAGTAAAATGATAATTATTTTTATTTTTAATAATGGGCAATGGCAGTAAAGGTATGTTATATAAATTTTTGTATTTTTAAAATTTATTAACATAAATAAATGAAAGAGAGTCCAAAAAGGATACTAAGAAAGGATGGCCAGAGTTAGTTAGAAACCAGGCCAAGTTAGTTGCTGCAGAAGTCAATAGAAGAGATTATTTCAAGAAGAAAGGGAGGGGCTCATAGTGTTATGTGCTAGAGAGAGCAAGTATAAAAGACCTGAAAGTGTCCATTGGACTTAACATTAATAGGTGTTCCTTTTTTTTGGGTAACCTAACAGTGGATTAGTTCCCCTGTTACCATTTCTGTCTTCTGATTAACTTCTATTGCCTTCTTTTAACTTTCATTTTCCTGCATTATAGAAGGTTGTCAAATCCACATATTGAGATTACTTTGAAAATAGTCCTTAACTTACAAAGACATATGTGCTGTGTTTGTTTAACCCATGATGAGGTTGAAAGTATACTTATAAGATCTCCAATTACAAAGTCCCAACATTACAACAATTAAAAAGTATGTCATGTGTAGTTTACCCATAATAAAGCTGAACTAGTACTAGTAGTAGGTCTAATCTGATCCTCCTAAAATTTCTGCATTCTCCTGAACATTGACCCTCTTTAAGCCTGTAATGACTGTGAGAAGGCCTTTAGTGATCGATCAGCCCTTATTCGACATCAGAGAACTCATATTGGAGAAAAACCCTACAAATGTGAAGAATGTGGTAAAGCCTTCAGTCAGAGCTCCACTCTCATGAAACAAAAAAATCCACACTGGAGAGAAACCTTACACCTGTAAAGATTGTGGGAAGGCCTTCAGCCAGAGTTCATTACTTACTCAACATCACAGGGCTCATACTGGAGAGAAACCATTTGAAAGTAACAAGTGTGGAAAAGCCTACAGTAAAAGTGCCCATCTTACTCAGCATCAGAGGATTCACACTAGAGAGAAACCTTGTGAGTGTAATGAATGTGGCAGAGCTTTCAGGTATAGTTTAGCCCTAATTAGACATCAGAGACTTCACAGTGGAGAATCACTCTGAACATGTGGACAAATTCATTCAGACTTTTCATTCACTTAGTAAATACCAAAGAATCAAACTTTCACAGGTTATTACAATTATGATACTTTTTCATTTTAAAGAATAAAAATACCCCCCTCTATTTACTCCTGCAAAGTGTTAGCTGCCAGAATACCACAAATCCAAGTAAAGAAACATCCTAAATCTGGAATAGCCCAAGAGGCTCAAAACATCAGTCTTTATATGTGTGTGTGTGTGTGTGTGTGTGTGTTTATCCATACTTGAAAATAGCTAACGTCATCATGAAGTAATCCCCTCCATCCCTGGCCCCAGGAATAGGCTATTCCAACATGCCAAGGAATTCTAGTTGTTCAAATTGAGCTTGTTGCCCCTTGTATTGATTGTGATAGTACTACGTTCAAGCTAAATAGAGAAACTCACGGTTGTTTATATATCATAATACCACCTTCCTATAAATCTTTGCCCTAATATATAGTCATTCCTACCCCAGTGTATACCTGTTTTACCTTGTCCAGTTTTCTGTGCTCATCTCACAGAGGCAGTATGGTATGTATCCCAATTAATAGGCTAGTTGTTGAGACTGATGACACTTCACACCAAGAGAATTTCAAAGTATTACTCATACAAAGGACTTCTGAGAAGAGCAGGGTTGGTGCAAGCCAATCTGGAATGGCAATAGCAAAGAGCAGGTTGGGCCATTTTAGTGGCTAGGATGTGGGGCTAGAGAAGTCACCATGCATGGGTTTGTGGGGTTCAAGCTTGCAAGATTCAAACTCCATTGGCAAGAGCCCGGGAGGTATACACATATTTCCTTATCTAAAGTACCAAATGTATGGAGTTGGGGGAGGAAGGGGAGAAGCTCAAATGCTAGCAATGACCAGATATCAGAAATGGAGTCAGACTCTTTATACATTCATTTTTCTCAGAAAATCTTTGTTCACTTATTTCAAAATAACTTTTTAATGTTACTGTGTTTTTTTCTTTCAAAGAATCTATTTTGCTTTTATCATCTTCCCCATCTTTTGGTTCACAACCTTCTCAGGAGCTTCCCATTGTAATCTGAAACATGCCCCAGTATGTAGAGGGAGAAACCAAAGAAAGAGGCAGCCACTCAAGATTGGTTGGTGGCAGTTTTAATGAGCAAGGGAACTTAAGAGGCTTATCTTGGGCAATTGCAAGATGATAATTTTCTGCACCTGCCCACCAATCTTTAAGGTTTATATAGAGGCCTTAACAAGGTTCAGTTCTATATTCCATGCAGATAGTCTCAACACCACATTTCGATCTCAAGGTTTTATCCTTGGGGTAGATTCCGGGAATGGGGAAGACAAGTGGAACACACATTCCAAGGACTGGAGGGGGTGGAAAGCCACCTATTGCCTAGGTGCAGCTCAGGGGTCATGTCTTCTTGGTCATGTCCTCCCCCAACATCTTCCTAGGATCTTCTTTTACCTTTTCCCCAAGGCTGAAGTTATAAGTATCACTTCTCAGAAAGTAAACGTTATTTACCCTGGAAACTGACAGTCTTACATGGTACTGTTTTATGCAACTCTGACAGGAGAGTCGGGAGAAGATTGAGCCAATACTTGTAGAAAACATTTTAGAAAAATATATAGCCTATGACTTTCTATTAAAGTACCATCAGATTAACTTACCTGGGGTTGTCTGATAAAAATTCTTGTACATGACCTTAAGAAATTTTATGTGCGCTTAATGAAGCCAGGTATTTACTGGTCACACCTTGACTTTTTACATATATGCAGTTTATCTTTCTTTTAAGTTATCCTAAGGTTAAATTGATCTTAAGTTTCTTTTTTTAGGTTTCCATGAATTATGTACCCTTACTTTTTTCTTTGTTGTTGGCATTTTCAGTTACCCAAGAGAATTATTGTATAGAATTGGAGTCTCTTGATTATCATTTCAGATTTACTCGTCAGAACTGCTTTATATTTTTCTCACTAAAAGGGCTTCTCTGACCTCTTCCTGATTACCAATTTTCTTACCATTCTCTTCTATTTAAAACATTTATACAGTGTTAGGTCCAGCTTAAAGTTCAACAGGGCTTGAGTTTCATAGCTGAAAAGCCCAACTTAAGGTAGAGAAGAAAGGATTTTAGTTCTGAAAATCAGCTGTAAGACAAAATGCTTTGAAGAAATAGTGAAATAATTTTTGAATACCTGAAATCCTACTAACTTTGAAATTGAAAGCGGTGGAAAAGTTATCTATAACAGTGTCCATAATTAGAATCATACCTCTTAAAATAATGTTTATTAACAACTTAAGTAATAAAGTCACAAACTTTGTCTTCCCTGGAGTCAGCTTTGTTTGTAGATAAACCTTAGCTCTTCCTTCAGAGGCCTCATCCATGATAACCTGGTTTAGAATTAAAAACTCAGGACAGGTGTCCTTGAACAAAAGACCTGTCCTAGAATGGGTCGGTAGCATGAATTTGTGGATTGTATTGTAGTGAATAGGTTTAATTCTATTGTAGTCTAAATATAGTTCAGATTCTGAACTATTAAGATTTCTAGGACATGATGGTGACAAGATATTTGAAATCAGAACAGTTTCAGAAATTTTATGACTCAGACTATCTCTTCTTTTAATATGTGCCTTCAGTAGTAGGATCTATGCTTTTACACTTTAATGTTTCTAACAGGATCATCTTAATGCTTTCTATACTTGCCCTCTTGTTTGAGAATATAATCCCTCTCCTTTTACTACTTAAGCTAAAACTCTGTGTGTTTGTTTGGTTAAGGCAAGGTCTTGGGGGTGGCGATTGTGAATTTTGGAGTTTAATTTAAGGCTTTATATAATACATTTTTTGATATTTTCATCTCTTTTTGGAAGGTAATATGGATTCTTCAGTTTTTATTTTATTATATATTTTTTATGATAACATTGATTAATGAAATCCAATGTTTCAGCTGTACACTTTAACAGTAAGGCATATATATATTTACACTATGTTCATCTCCCATAGTTATATTTCTTTCTGTCACTACATACTTGACACCCTTTATCCTGTCTATCGGCCCCTACCCCGACCCTCTATCCTCTGGTACCACTAGTCTATAGTCCGTGTCCATGAGTCTCTGTTTGTTTATCCTGTTCATTTGTTGCTTTTAGGTTTATATCACACATATAAGTGATATCATGTGGTTTTCTACCTTTTCTGTCTGGCTTATTTCGCTTAGCATGATTATCTCGAGGTCCATTCATGTTGTCGCAAATGGCATATTTCATCTCTTCTTATGGCTGAGTGATAGATATTCCATTGTATATATGTACCACATCCTCTTTAGCCAATCATCTATCGTAGGACCCTTCAGTTGTTTCCATGTTCTGGCCACTGTGAATAGTGCTGCTATGAATATCAGTGTGCAAATATCTTTTCGGATACGGGTTTTCAAGTCTTTGGGGTAAATACCCAGTAGAGGAATTACTGGATCATATGGTAGATCAATTCTTAGTTTTTTGAGGAACCTCCATACTGTTTTCCATAGTGGCTGTACCACTTTGCAGTCCCACTAGCAGTGTATGAGGGTTCCTTTTTCTCTGCATCCTCTCCAACAT